GCCCCCCCCCCCCCAGCAGCATTTTGGAGGGAGCACGGGGGCTGCAAAGCACCTCAGCCTTGACCTGGCCACTCGCTGCCAACAGGTACGACCAAGGTCAAGGCTGACGCTCCCGTTGGGAGCCCGTGGGGCAGATGTACTCACGGATGGCGATGTGGACAGACAGCACGGGGTGAGACACGGTCAGAGCCCAGATGTGGAGGCTGTGCAGGGCTTTGACACCATCGATGGACAGCAGGATCTCCTTCACGCTGTTGAAGTCCACCCCCTTCGGGGTCCCTGGAAGGGGGCAAGGGAGTCGGTGTCCCCAGCCCAGCTGGGAAGGGAGGGCGGTGTCGCACGGACCCCGGGTAGAAGCCTCTTCTCCCGGCGGGGCTGGGTACCTCACCTTCCATCAGCACCAGCACCACGTCTCGGAGGATAGTCAGCGTTGTCCCCAGGACCAGGAAGGAGAACAGGAAGGTGCAAACGGGGTCCATGAACTTGTACTCCGGCTGCCAGGGCGGGGAGGGGAGCGGTCACCGCAATTCCAGGCTCCCAAAAAATAACCCTGCACGGCCAAGACCTGCACCCAGCAGCCGCGTGGCACAGAGCCCTGCAGCTACCCTGGGCCCGCCCAGAGCCGAGTTACTGAGCGCGGCTCCACAGGAGAAGCTGTTTGGGCTCAGGATGTCAGCGAGAGCGGCAGTGCAAGCTGCGCAGGGTCCCCGCTGGGCTGGGAGACCTCCCAGGATATCTTTAGTGCCCTTGAGGAAGGGTCAGTGCCCTGGCCAGGGGGGAATGTGTGGTGAGAAGCAAAGCCAAAACTCCCATGGGCTTTCACCTCTCAGGATCCTGGAGCCAGGTTTCAACGGGCAGAGCGACGTGCCTGCGTTTCTCTGAAATTTCCACTCCCTGCGGAGCTCCCCTCTGTGTCCTGGCTGCCTGTGCGGTGCTGGGCACCAGTGGGGCAGTTAAATGACTTGCCTATGAACGCAGGGAGTCGGTAGCAGGGCAGGGATGAAAGCACAGAGCTCCTGGCACTCGGTCCTGTACTCAGACCAGGCCCCCCCTTCCTAGGACAGCGACCACCACAGTGCAACAAAGGGCTGGCGCTTTGTGCTGTGCCCAGAGGGGACCCCCAGCTCCCCCCCCACGCCTCTGCATTGCACCTTGAAGTAGATGACATAGGCAGCGACCAGGACCCCGACGCTCTGCAGCAGGTCCCCGACCACGTGGATGAAGGCGGCGCGGACGCTGGGGTTGGGCTGTGCGTCAGGGCCGTGGGGACCGTGCTCGTGGCCGTGGTGACTGTGGCCGTGCCCGGTCTGGTGGAGGGCAACACCCATCCTACGGGGGAGACGGAGGCATCAGGGCATCGAGGGAGCTGCCTCTGCCTCTCCCCTTGCCTGAAGCTCATGGAAACGGGCCCTGCTTGCCATTGCAGCCTGCAGCATTGAGCAGGGCTGGCCTGGCCTGCTCTAAATGCACCATCCGTGCAGCCGCAACCCCAGAGGCAGGGGCCTGTCTCACCCCCAAGCCCCTCCTCATCCAGCTGGGGCTCCAGGAGTGGGGAGGGGGCAATCCTCACCTCTGCAGGGCACATGTCAAGAGGCTGTGGCATGGGGAGGTGGGTTTGAGAGGCGCCCAGAGCTTCTGCATTCATGAGCAAAATCCCTCCTGGCATCTGACTGACCAGGACCTGATCCTGGAAACCCACGGGGATCCCCCAGCTTCCAGCCCTGGAAGACCTCCCAGTCCCTGGATTAATTATCCCTAGGGGTGGCCAAGGCTTACCAGCCAGTCGGGGCATTCCCACAGGAGGGAATTAGCCTTTGCAGTTAGCCAGCAACTCCCACCCATTCTCTCCAAGCCCACCCCCAGAGCCACGCACATGATATTCACGGCCACGGCGCAGGCCGAGGTGATGAGCATGGCCTCCCCTTGGATCTCGTACTTGCTGGAGAGCAGCCGCTCCACGGCCAGGTAGACCAAGACACCAGTCACCACCCAGATGGACAGCACCGAGAGCAGGGCCCCCAGGATCTCTGCGGGGCAAGGCCCAGGTTAGAGCGGACGCTTCACCTCTGAGCAATCCCCACGCCCGCAGCCTCTCGTGGGCCTGGAGTGGCCACGGCAGCCTCCCTTCGTCTCCCGAAGCAGCTCCCCCATTCGGCTCCAGCGCCCCCTCTACGGCTGCGCTGTGAAGCTGGCAGCATTGGGGGCAGGCCTCTGCTTGCCATTTCTAGCTCCCTGATGGTCCGTACCTGCCCCTGGAAGTACAGCTAAGGACGGGGACTCGGCGAGGCCCCTGCGCACAAAGCTTAACTTGCTCCTCCAGGGCCAGCTGCTTTTCCAGCCCCGCTGCTCTCCCCTGCACCCTCTGGAGGGAGATCACAGCAGCTCCGAGACCCCAGGGCTAAAAGGCAGCAAGTCCGGCCCACCGGCACTGCACGAACCACAGCAACGCAGAAGGCAGGGCAGCGTGGCACCTTGCAGACTAACTCAGGACAGTCTAGGCCCTTTAGCATCAACGCCGTAACGCGGCTGCGCACAGCAGTCACACATGACCGAGGGAGATGCAGCACGGCGTCCTTTCCCCCTCGCAAGACCTGCCCTGGCTCTGCAGCAGCTGCAGCAATGCTTTCCTCTTAACAAGCCAGCCACCTCTACGAATCTCAGTATCCGCGCTCCACGCATTGAAAGGGGCCGCTGGCACTCCTGCCAGCACCGCGGGGAGGCTATGCCAAGCTAAGGACTCCTGCTGCACGGCTCACAGCAGCTCCTTAGAGCAGCAGAAAGCTGGGATGGCTAAAGAGGCATTTATTTACTGGCATCCCTGCATCTCCGTTCGGCTCTGTACTGTCTCGGTGCTCTTCAAGGCGGCAATTTTTGCCCCGCTGCCAACTCCTACCTGGCACAGCTACACTGGCAAGGCTGCATAGCGTACACCCAGCCTCAGTGGTTTCAGGGACAACAGCCCAGCTTCTGGGCTCACGTTTGGCCTTCTGGGTCCAGAGGCCAGGGCTGCAGCCACCATACGGGGCTGAACAGTTAACTCAATCCCAACCTGAACTATCGGTGGAGTAGCAAAGCCCATGGTTCGTGCCAGCAGAAACCAGGCTCAGACCCTGCACTCGCACAAGCACTTGTTACCAGAAAGGAAAGCGGGGCAGGGAGGGCAAGAGCCCAGACACGAACTCCTGGAGGGGGCATTTAGAAAGCCCAAGGGCCGTGGAAGTGATAACGGACACCTGGGCCTCTAGGATTTCCAGAACAAAGGCCTGCCCTGCCGAGATACAAGGGTCGGAGGGACCTTGTAGATCTGCAAGTCCAACCCCCCGCCTGGGCAGGAGAAAAACTGGGCTCAGATGCCTCCAGCCAGGCAGGCATCCAGCCTCCTCTTAAAGCCCCCAGGGTAGGAGCCAGCACCACTTCCCTCGGAAGTTGGTTCCAGGTCCTAGCCGCCCTGACCGGGAAGTAGCTCTTACGGACGTCTGATCTAAACCTCCTCTCCAACAACTTGTGGCCGGGGCTGAGGCCAGGCACAGGCCACTGCTGATTTCAGTAGGATCTGCTCACGTCCAGCTGCGGAGGGCACGACCCTCCAACACCTTGCCCCCGGTTACAAGCACACCTCACCGCCCGAGAGTCACGAGTGCTTCACGGGCTGTACGGCTCGACAGGGGCGCTTTGTCCCGTCTCCCAGCCCCGCGGCAGAAGGGAGGGCAGGCACCTTTCACGCCCAGTCCAACAAGGCACAGACGGGGAGGTCACCCCAGCCAGGGGAGCCCGGTGGCCGGCCTCCACGATCCTCAGACCCGGTCAGCGGCGGACGGGGAGGCAGCGAGGACGCACCCGCGTAGGCAGCTTGCCACCCTCCAGA